TTTTTTTTTTTTTTTTTTACCCTTATTATATGACACATGCGTAAAATCGCATATGGTTCATGGGAGAAAAAAAAGAAATAATGAAATGCGAAAAAATTTGCATCTTTTGTTTATTATAATTGGTTTCACGGGTGAGAGAACAAAATGTTTCATTGTCATGCGATTTTATAATAAATATTAACAATTTTATTTTGAAATAATTGAATACAGCACCTTCCATAAAAAGTTCAGTTTGCATTTTTCCAGAAGAAGTTATTAGCTGGTGTGACAACTAATATAATTGGATATGAAAAAGGAAAAATGAAAATCGGATTTTACATTTGGATTTTACCGATTTGAACGATTATCAAAAAATCGCATTTTAATTTGTGTTATTGTAGATTTATTTGATAATGTTAAATTACCTAAATTACCGATTTTACAAAATTGAATGCACCGTGCGTTGGTGAAGGTTCCACATGGCACATGTTTCAAGATCCATGTTAATTTGGTGAAATTTTTTTCACTTTCTTCATTGAACCTCTTTGACTCAGTTCCATCTTTGTAATATTACATGACGTAAATTATTCAATCACCAAAATTTATTTATAGTTCAAATGAGGAAATCGAATACGTAAGGCATTACCTCTTTATTTCATCTGTGGCGTTCCATTATTAGTTTGATTTTTTTTTTATTTTATATTTTATATTTTATATTTTATATATATATATTTTTTTTTATGTTAATGTTTTTCTCGTTTAACCTCCAAATCCTTTTTTCGGAAAATTACATTAAACAATGTCAATATGCATATATATTATGCATTATGATTATTAGATTTTATTATGCAAATGCTAAAATGTGTAATGTTTGTTGAGAAACATCATCTCAAAATTTCCTTTTAAAAATAAATCATCTCTTTTGCGGAAATTATTTATTTTGTGATTGACGTATAATTGACGCAAATATATCATTGCCGATTTTTCTTTAAAATCGAATTTTATTATATCATTTTTCACTTCCAATAACCTGGTAACAAGTTCGATTTCATCATTTTTAACGATCTTTAAGAATTACTCGTTAATTTGAACAATTACACCATTTTAATTAAATGATCTTTCTTGCAGTTTTCTTTACTTTTAGATCCACATAATAGAACTTTCCAGAATTATTTATTTATTTTAACTTTTTTTATATATTATTTATGTATTTATGTATTAAAAATTCCGATAATCTTAGATAGAGTTTATTAAGTTTATTCTGTTTATTCATGAAAAAATTTTAAAAATTTTTTTAGTATTTAATCTCGTCACACGTGTTATTAATTAAATTTTACGTGTTTTTCAAATGTGGTAGGTAGTATTTATAAATGTTTATATTATCAATGCGACAATGCGACAATGCTTTTGTACATGCTGTACATTACCTATATTATCGTTTTAACTAATGTTATCTCGAGTTTTATCTAAATTGTAATCTAATAAAATTCAATGAATATAATGAATACAGTGAAGTGCATTCCTTGGGAGTTGGGACCATAGATAGTAGAATGTGCACTTTTAGAAGGTGTGCATTTATAGAGAATATTAAGAGCTCTTATAAGTTGGGTCCAGGCCCACAGTTGCACTTAAAAGAGAATTTATATAGTTCGTGCACTTATAGAGGGTGCATTTATAGAGGTGTCACTATATATACACAGCGAAATTAGATATAATGGAACCATCCGTTCCATTAGTTAAATTTGTCAAAAAAATTGTTATATCGAGAAATCCGTTATATCGGGGGGTAAATTTATTATAGATTATGATAACGTTCCAGACCCCAATTCCGATATTTAACCATTCCAATATATCAAGACTTTACTTATGTTCCGTTATATCAAGGTTCCGGTATATCGAATTTCACTGTGTACTTATTCTGCTTTATATTTATATATTATAAAATTGATAGTAATTTAATATATTTGTGTATATAATAAAAATTGATAATAATTCAATATATTTTTATTTGTATAATATTTGTTAGTGTAAGATTCAACTTGTTCATACATTTCAACATTTCATCTGAAGTTCTGAACCATCCGGTCTACCAGTCTATCAATTTAGGAATTTACCATAGTATCAGTAATTTTTCACGTGAACTTTGTATATATTTATGTATATTTATGGTTAAAACGAAATAATAAATTTATGGTTTAAAAAAAATGATTATAATCACATTATTATTAATTATTACTTACCTGTACAGTATATTATAAACAATGTATCATTATAAATAATTTTAAAATACCAATCAAATTTTTATTATATCATATTTAAACGTTAGATTTCTTTTGTTAAACAAATTTTGTTAAAACTTTTTTGTGACTTTTTGGAAATTATAAAAATTAAAATTAATATGGACTTATTGATCAAGAAAATATCAATGTAATGTATTGAATACGGTAAGATTAAAAATCCGGATGTCAATCATGAAAAAAAAAAAAAATTTAATTAAAATTGAAAAATAGTTAAATTAGAATTCCAAGGATGTAAAATAAGTCATTTATTTTTTTACAAATTACAGATTTTTTTTTTTTACCATTTTTTTTTTATTATTATTATTTTATTTTTATCATAGTTTCAAAACTCGGTCTAAATTTATTAACCAATTCCTGCCCAGATTCAATTAGCCTAATTTATAATTCCTCACCGGCTTTACTTTTAAATGATCATCACTCGTCATAAGTTCTTGATTAAACAAAAACAATAACGCAATGCGCAATAACGCATATTTTTTTTTTACGACTTTATACTTTTATATTAATTTAATAGAATTAAACCCCTATTGGTCGCTACACTAACCTACTTTTTTTTTTGGTTTGGGTCTTTTTTTTTATCTCAATAATATATACATATAAATCTTAGGCCGGGTATTGGATTAAACCACTTGTAAAAAACGCGTGATAAATATTTAGTAAACCATTCAAACTAACGAGATCTTTTTTAAATTATGTGAGATGATTTAGATGATATGGAGGATTTGACGTATTATTAATTTATTGTAACTTTTTGGATTATTGGACTTTGTCCGGTAACTGTTAATTTTAATTATTGCGTGATATTCTTTAATTATTATTACCGTATGATGGGTATTGGAATTGGAAGTGTTATTAAAATTGGAAGTATTATTGAAATTGAAATTGGAAGTATTATTGGAATTGAAATTGGAAGTATTATTGAAATTGAAATTGGAAGTATTATTGGAATTGAAATTGGAAGTATTATTGAAATTGGAAAAATTATTGGAATTGGAAGTATTATTGAAATTGGAAAAATTATTGGAATTGGAAGTATTATTGAAATTGGAAAAATTATTGAAATTGAAAAATTATTGAAATTGGAAGTGTTATTGGAATTGGAAAAATTATTAAACTTGAAAAATTATTGGAATTGGAAAAATTATTGAAATTGGAAGTATTATTGGAATTAGTAGTATTATTGGAATTGGAAAAATTATTGGAATTGGAAGTATTATTTGAATTGGAAGTATTATTGGAATTGGAAGTATTATTGGAATTGGAAAAATTGTTGGAATTGGAAGTATTATTGGAATTAGTAGTATTATTTGAATTGAAAAAACTATTGGAATTAATAGTATTATTGGAATTGGAAGAATTGGAAGTCCAAAAGTGCTTCCAACTTCCCAATGTCCATCAAGTAACCGTCTTTAATTTACTGCATATAATGTAGGATATATCTTCATATATTCATATATTGATTATGTAATAATTTGATCTATTATATATTTAACAAAAATTATATTAAATTTACAAAAATTATAAAATTATATTAGATTTTAAAGATTTTAAATTTTCGCATATTAAATTCTTTGATAATGTTGGGATACTAGGGTGTACTAAATCGTATTTTGTATATGCCTGAGCTTTTTTTTACGCTGAGGAGTTATATAGTATCTCTGAATACACACTAACATTATACCTATAATACACGGGTTGCGGTATTTTATGCGATACTACTTCAATCTAATTAATACAATTGTCGAATGGATGAACTATAAAATACTTAGAATCATTAGACTATCTCCAATTGGCCCAAGTCCTATCGTAAGTTCCAAATTTTTTTCGACCTTGTCCAATTCATCAATTGAAATTCACACGTCGCAACATACGATTTTAGACGTGGGAAATTTCAAAATAATTAAAATGATTAGGTAATATTTATAATATATTTGGTATAAGACGATATTAAGATATACTTTACTTATTTACCGAACTAATTATGGGAATAAGCACGAATGTCATTTTTTTAACTCAGGGAAACTTTTATATCACCAATCTTTTTCAATGAGTTCTCCAATCTGGGTTAATTGAAAAGATGTAAAAATATCATATGATTTAATGAATGATCTGTGAAACGCACGTGTCTCTCATTTTACATTTATGTTGATTGATAGATTTAGATCTTGTTGAAACTTGGAAAAATCATTTACAATTTACACGAGTTTAAATGCCAATCTTCTCCCGACTTTCTAACCCATTGGCCGTAGCCGGCAATTTTCAACCAAATCCAAGTATTGACCGCCTTGTAAAATTCTTGAATTCAGTACCTGGGACTGACAAAATTTTGATGGTAATAGTTTCGTGTTATTTTTTATTCATTATATGTAAAATATTTCTAAAATATCTATATATATTATATAGTTTGTTCAATATTATTCGAAAATTTTAATATGGTTTTTCAATCGTATTGGTAAGGAGTCATGGGCTCAACGTATTGTCAACTTAAATAATCCGGTAACTGATTTTAGAATCTTCCTTAGGTAAGTTCAGCAAATTCATTACGGTATCAATCTAAATAAATTATCTGATCCCTTTCATTACCAAATATGAAGGTTTTATGGTCTTCTTCCATTGATTCAATGGATGATTCATATTGAACACCATCCACCAGTATCTTCATTACTTTTACAAATTGAACGTATTCAAAATCTTACCATGATTTTTTATTATCCCCTCGAACATATTTGGTGGCTTGCAAATCACGAAGTTATTTCTATTTCTGAAGCTCGAATGAATAAGATTGGAGTTTGGAGCTGCCGCTTTTGGGCAGTTCATGTCATTCTCCAATTTTTACATCTTGCCATAGAATGGAAGTTATATAAAAGACGAAGTCGTGATATTATCAAAAAAGTAGATGGTGATGAAGATGATATTAGGAAGGAAAAACGGCAGATTAAAAAAGCAGGAGAAAGAATTATAAGAGATACAATTATTAACATCGGTTATTTACCATTAACAGTACGTAATTACGCGTTTATTTTTAATTTCTATTAATCAATATTAATCAATTTATCAAATTTATAGATGCATTGGTCAATCGAAAATTCATCTTTTCCTGATATTGGTGTTGGTATCTTTGGTACACTTGCCGCTTTTTATCAACTGGTCGGCGCGTGGAAAGCAACAAATGAATAATGATAAAATTATAAAATTATAAAAAAAAAAACAATTTATTCTAAAAACTTTAGTAAGGTTTATTATATAATCTCTATTGGTCGGAGATGGTTCTAACACAAAATTCGCTCGTCTGTTGTCTATATTTATTTTATAAATTTAGATTCTTTGTATTTGTCATTATTATTATTAATCAAATATATAGTGTATATTATAAAATAATAACGCACGTGATTTTTCGGGTTAATCGTCCAATGAAAATTTGCTACTTTACAATATGCGCAGATTGTGATCAAATGACACAATGCCGAAGTAATTTCATTTAAGAGTTGATTTCGTGAGAAATTATTTCTCTTCGAACTTGAACAGCGCAAATAGTGCAAGTTCTTAAACTTTTGAGTTTTTACTAACAGTGTCAAGCCATTAATTGTTTACAAGAGGCTGCGTTTACTTAGCAACCAAACTAAGGGGAAAAAAAAAGTTTCTTGATTTCCACAAAGTTTTAATAATTTCTATCCATAACTTTGTTCAAAAGTGCTGCGTTTCTTACAAGTGTTTAAATACTTTTAATTGACACTTATTCAAGATCTTTTTTTTTTTGAAGTTACCAGTTTCCAAAGAAGAAGTAATAAAAAGAAAGGACTAATCTTTTGTTCTTTCCTAACATAATTTAATTTATTTAATAATTTTTACCTTTAATTATTTAATTTATTAATTTTTAATTTTTTTATTTAATTTTTTTATATATATAGTATTTATTTTATTTTATTTATTTATTTTTTTTATTTATTTGCCCAGCATGGAGTTTATTTTCTTTTACTAAATGGAGCACACATTATTTTTATTATTATTGTCAAATTACATTGTTAGTTCCGAGAGAACTTCAGGAAACTGGTTTCTTCATTACTTCCCAATTTTCTTTTTGACATTTCCGAAAATTCGGAAAAGGTCAAACGATATTTTATATCATCACAAATTGTATCCACCAAATTGGTTATACCCACTTATACTTGTATTATCTTTAGCAACCATTATAGCAATAAGTAATTGGAATTATTTATTATTATTTTCTCCAAGAAAACCAAATAATCCGCGTATTTATAATTATACTCATCTAAATTATCACCATGAATGCCAACGCACGTGCATTCGTTCCACAAAACATGTCAACAAGGACAAACACCACTTCTTCGCCATCTATCTCACGTGTTCAACGTTCGTCCGGTCGCAATTTCGTATCGAATCAGAGCTCGCTCCAGCCTGAAGTAAGAAAAAATAACTTTAGGAATCAAAATTTTCATTCACAAGGGGATCAAAATGGTATTTATAATTTAAATTATACTATTTATTTCAAGTATAATTAATTATTATTTTATGCTGATTTGTTTTTTTTTTGATTATCAAATTATTTTAGCCCGTTTGAACGTAAACAGGAATAATCCTCGACGTAAGCAAAATCGTCATTCTTATCATCATCATAATCGGAATCAATTGGATGATGTTAAAAATAGCGACAGAAATAGCAGCAGTTCTTCCACAAGCGAGACTGATATAAATCAAGCTCAAGAGACAGATCATTCTGTTGATGTAGTCGAAACTAATCTTAGTGATTTGTCTCTTAACGATCCGAGTTACATGGTATGTCATATTGAATATATTTTACTAATTTAATTTTTAATAATTTTAATAATCTTAATACAATTCTTTTTTTTTTTCTTTAGGCTTATGGTGCTCCTAATAGAAGGGGCCAAATCTCTCTTAATCATCTTTTGAATTTCTCATTTCCACCAAGACAAAGTTATCAAGCTAATACTCCTCGAAGACAGAGAACAGTTAATTACCAACCATATAATAAAGAACGCTTTTTGAATGCCAAGTAAGTATTTATCATTAGTATATTAATTATGATAATATTTTGATATTAATTGGTTGTATGGTTTTATATTATAGTTTTAGATTTCTTGTTAAATCGATGGGTGATTATACTGCTTATCAAGTTGATCCAGGTGATTTATCATTATAAAATCTTTTTTAACTGGTTTAATAATTTTCATTATAATAATAACCCTTTGATTTTTTTTTTAGATATTTTACTTAACTGGGAAGATATTGAACAAGTGGTAAGCTAAACATGAATTTGTTTATGTATAAGCAATATATAATTTTTAAAATTTTATCATTTAAAATTAGATTATTACTAGTCCTAATACTCCCAGTTGCCCAATTTGTTTACAACAACCTACTGCAGCTCGTGTAACTAAATGTGGTCACACGTTTTGCTTAGCTTGTATTATTCATTATTTGCAATTGAATGATGAAAACGAGAAGCCTAACAAAAAATGGCGCAAATGTCCTATTTGTTGGGATTCCGTATATGCTAAGGATCTTAAAAGTGTTAGATTTTGGGCTGTTAGGACTATAGGGAAAGTGGGAGATGGTGGATTGTTAGAAGGAGAAGAGAAACTTACTATGCGACTTATTCAACGACCTATGGTAAGGGAAAAAAATGCCTGTTATCAAAAAAATTTGGGTTGTTCGAAATCTCTAAAAATATATGTTACCATTTAATAATAGAATTCAACTATTGCACTTCCGCGTTCACCAACTTGGCCACTTCATGACCATGACAACAATATTAATGTTCCTTGGCATTTTACTCCTAATGCTCTTACATTTTCGAAATTAATGCTTGCTTCATTCGATTATCTACAAAATGAATATAATCATGATTTAAAGGACCTAAAAAATGCATTACAAGAAGCTCATGATTGGAATTCTAATGAAGAAATTCCATTCATTGAAATGGCTATAGTCAATGTTGAGGTATTATCTATAATCATGTGTAAATTTTGGTTTGCAATTTGTTATATTAATTGTCATATTTATAATTAATAGGAACATTTGGAGGCTCTAGAAATGTTTTCCACTAAAGCTTCACTTGAATCCGAACGACGTGCTCATGAAATTTTAGAAATGGCGGAATTAGATTATAGAAAGGTTAAAGATACGATGGAATCATTAAATTCAGTTTTTTCAGTCGAACCAGAAGTAGCAGCTGTGAATATAGATAATAAAAATAATAAAAATGATGCATCACATAATGATATTAATAATAGTCCACCTTCCTTTTTACCAGATGATTTTAAAGATCATCCTCATATTGCAAATATAAGTCCATTAAAACCTGATGAGAAACATAAAATTAAGACTACAAAGGATTTAATTGTTGATGATAAGACATATTATTATTATCAATCTGAAGATGGACAACACATTTATTTGAATCCATTAGACATTCGAGTTTTAAAACAGGAATTTGGAACTTATGATAATTTCCCTGATGAGATAACTGTTCGTATTGTTGGAGTTGACGAATCTACAATGAATGAGGTATTTATTTTTAAATATTTTAAATAAAACTCTTTCAATATTTTAATATATAATATTAACTTATAATAAATTTATTAAAGGAACTTCGTAAACGGTTTAAATATATTAGTCATTTACCTTTGAGTTGTGATGTAACTTTTCTAGAAGTAGATTTGAAAGGATTCGTTACAGATGATTCATTAAAGATTTTTGAAAGTATGTGATAAATTTTTTTTTTTATCTGTCAATTATTGATATATGTAAATTTTTTTATCTGACAATATATTTATTTATTTTAAATTAATTATTTTTAAAAAAAAAGACGAATTAAAACAACGTTACAATCGCCGTAAAGAAAAGGCACGTAAAGAAGAATGGTTACACGAACAGGCAGTTAACAAAGAACGACGTAGCAAAGATATGCAACAGGAATCTATTAGTTCGGATCCATTTTTCCAACCTTATTCATATAATGAATCTACTAGTAGTAACACAAACACACCAATAAAAATTACTGAATCTTCTGATAATGACAATCGAAAAAACAATGATCAATATGATGGACCAAGAACAGTCTGGGGAACGCCAGCTGTATCCTTTGCCAATGTTGCTAAAGAAAAGGATTCAAATGAACAAGATAATAAAGAAGAATTATGGAATCTTCCAGAAGAAGAAATTTATGTTGGTAAAAAACATAAAAAGAAAAAATTAGTTCTAATGTCAACAGGAGGTAAAAGACAACGATAAATTGAATAATTTCATAGATAATTTCAAATTTTTTTTTCGAATTTTTTTTTTTTCATTTTTTATTTTATATTGTTTTTTTTTTTATTTTATTTTTATTGTTGATATAATATATATATATAGTTTTATAGATTAATAATATACAACAGTATTATTATTGTTCAATCTTTTTTTGAGTTAATGATTTTAATAATAAAAATATTGTTCTTGAAAAAGGAACTTTAAAAAAAATGTGTTACATTAAAATATTGTATACAAGCAAACCAAAAAAGGAGACATAATTTATTAGTATACCTAGTTCTAACTTAATTTGTTTATTCTTTTAATTTTAAATTCTCTAAATTACTTAAAAGAGAGAAACTATCCCTTTAATAATTTAATTATATTTTAAATAAACGCTTGGTATGTATCATGCAATATAAATATAATTAAAAATAAATAGGACATTGTCAAAAAAACCCTCAATGAACTTGTTGCATGCTTTTGTATTTATAATAATAATTTTAAAGGAAAAAAGAAAAAAAAAAATAATTTTTTTTTCTCTTAATTTATAAATATAATTATTATTTTTATTTAGAATGATTATACTTTGCATAGTATGAAAAATAATAGAATTTTGACAAGTTTGTTAAGAAGTGAGGATATTTATAAATTAAAGTTCACTCTTGAATTACGACTAAATTTGGTCAAAATCATTAATTAGTACAGGTTATTTTAACAATGGTCATAATATAGAAAAAAAAAAAACTTTCTCCGAACCAATCATTAACGAAACAATAATCCCAAATATAATACCAGCGAAACGAGATTATGTATAATACCTGTGTTACAAGTAATTTCGCACATGCGGAGGAGACCTTGCAGATAGCCGTTCGATGAATATCTCATTAGCCTTATTAAATTGCTTCCCAATTTAATTTATTTATTTTTTTCAGTATTTCCACTATATCCACTTTGGGTGGTTGAACAAATTGCATTCTACTCTTCAAGGAAAGTAATACAAAATATTTTTATAAAATAAATATTAACTGTACACGAGAAACAAACTCGAGCGACCATGCCAAAACGCAAACACTGAACACAACAGTTTTTTTTTTTTTTACGAGTAATTGAATCAATCAATAATAGATAGATGCAGTATTTCTCAATATATCAATTAAGAAGTATAATTTTAGTATTATTCTACATATAATTTAGGAATCAGACATATAAATACTTGCCTTTTCATCTCTTATGATTCTTGTTTAATTCATAGGTGCTCTCTGTTCGTTGTTTTTTTTTTTTTACCGATTTTCTTTGTGACGGAAAAGGTGAGAATTTTCTTTTCTTATCATCCTTCTTTAACGAAAAGGCAACTTATTCAATAATTAATTTCTTTTTTATAAAACAATAAAATATTTCAATATACCCTAATAGTCTGTCTGTAACGATCCGTATAAAGTGTAACGAATAACGTACTGGCCGTTTAATACGGTTTCTTCTGCACCATAACTGTAAAAAAACTTTTTTCCAAAGTTTCAGCTTGGCTATTATTTGCCGTATCAGTTTTAAATTATTTTATGATACTTTGACACGACACTCTCCTGTTATTTAAACAAATTTATTCCTATTATTTTCAACTTTCTCTCACACATAAAACACTCCACATATTATTCGCGCAGTTTTCGGTTGTTATGCATCTTTTGTAACTTGATTTTTTATTTTATTTATTTTAAACCAATAACGACTTTACATTTATATATCTTGCTTTATAGCACTTAAAACTTTCTTTTTAATATATATATATATATATATATATATATCTTATTTTATATTTTTATTTTATATTTTTTTGATTTTTTCGTATAAATATATAACAAAAAGTACTATATATAAATATATATAAATATTATAAATATATATATATATATAATATAATGTATATAATGTATATAATGTATATAATGTATATAATTTTTATAATGTTTTTTCGATTCATTATATTCTTTTGACTTTTGATTTATTATCTTCTTTTGATTCATCCTTTAATCTTATTTCAAAAAAATTTTTGACTAATTCTTTTTTTGTATATATATATATTTATATATTAGCTTCATGAACAACTCGAACATACTCATAAAGAAAACTTATCATTAACTGATGATAATACGTTCCTTCGTAAAAAAATTTTATCTCATCAACATGAAATCAATAATAGTCATAATGAATGTGTACGCCTTGAATCTGAATTGTATCAACAAGTACAAGAAATAGAAAGATTAAGAAAAGAAAATGTTGGTTTCTTGAAAAATAAACGAGAAGTAGAAAGAAAATTGAGAGAGGAGGTAAAACCTTTTTTTTTTTGGAAACATATAAAAAATGGATCCTTTTTTTTTCTGAAATTAATTGGAAATTTAATTTTAATTAGACACAAGCATTTGAAAAAGATCGAGTTGTATGGCAAGAACGCGAATCAGAATTGATTGATCAAATAAAAGCTTTACAAGATACTGTTAGTGTTCTAGCACAACAGAATGAACAAGTTTCAGAAAGGAGAGATGGTTAGTTTAGTTAAAATTATATACAGTACATGATCCACTTCTTTCACGTTAATTTTTGGTGATTCGAAGGAATTGTTATTAGTCAACTTGATTATAATAATTAATGATTATCTCTCTCTCTTTTTTTTTATTATTATTATTATGAAATATAGAGGAGAATTCATATTATGCTGCTGCTCGTGAATTAAAGAATGTTCAAAGAAGTATCAAAGAATTAGAGCGACGTAATAATGAATTAGCTACAGAACTTGAAAAAGCAAAACAAGCAACTAATGAATCTGTAAATATAAGCAAAAATCATGTGCGTAGAATTCAACAATTAGAAAATGAATTATCGCAAGTGAAGCATATGAATCAATCATTAATGGAAGAAAATGAATCATTCCAACGATTAATATTTGAAAAAACAATGAAAGGCGAATTTATGTTTAACCCTATAATGCAGGTAAATATAAGTGGTTTGAATTTATTTCCTTTAATTGTTTCCCCTTATTGTTTCATCTTTTTCCTCACCATATTATTTTTTTTTTTTACATAATAGCTAAATGATTCTCACAAGCATGCGGATGTCATTAAGAAAATTACAAATGGTATTTCTGGAAATGCTTTAGAGGCTGAATTAACCCGTGCGGATGAACTAACTAGTTCTCTTCTTGGCGAACGTGTCCATAAAGAAAGTGATCATACTATTATTGATAGTACGTATTTTAATGATTAATTTTTTTTAATCTTCAATTTTTTTTTTTTTCATATACTAAATATTATTTGAATTAATATAGAATTCCAAGAGGAAATCAAATCACTCAATGACGCAAATAAGGATATGAGACTATATATTGAAAAAATTCTTCACCGTATTTTAGACGTTCAAGGATTTGAAGAAATTTTGTCTTTTGAGTGGAAGAAACCATCAGTATCTAGTCCTGTATCACCTACTACAGGATCATTTGGTTTCAATAATATTAATAACAACAATAACGATAATAACGATAATAACGATAATAACAGTCAAGAAGAAAAAAAGACTACTAAGAAAGTTGAAAGACGTAAGACATTTTCTGGATGGCACTTCCGTAGTACTTCTCAACCTCAAAATACTTATAAATCGGATAAAATACCCGAAGAACCTGATACACCTCTCCCATTACCAACCAGAAAATCAAATGATGATACTCTTCATCCTCCTAGTGTAATTCAAAAACGTCCATTAAGAAGGAATTCTACATCAGCTAAAAACACAAATCGACTTAGTAGCTTTTTTGGTTGGGGTGGCGGTGTAAAAGAGGAAGAAAAGAAGGAAGATCCATTCATGAGACCTATGATCCTCTTGCAAGAACAAGAAAGGAAAGATTAAATTATGATATATATGATTTAACATTTTAAGCATTTTTAAAAATATCTTTTGAACAAAACTATTCAATTCTTGCCATTATAAATTTAGTTAAATTTAAATGACTTTATTTTTTTTTTTTTTAAAGAAAAAAAAACAAATAAAAAAATGAATGTATATATATATATACATCTTTTTTGTACATTTTGATTTTTTTTTTTACTCTTTTGTTATATTTATTTACTTTTGTTTATTTTATCTTTATTATATTATATGCGCCTTTTAAGAAGGCATTGAAAATATTCAAAAAAAAAAAATTTTAAATAAAATCAATTTCTCAAATTACCGAATTTTTATTAAGATAAAAATCAAAAGAATTGCTGGTCTTATGTAAGCACGGAACGTTATTCTTTTCACTTTCATTAAAAATGTCTAGTTCTACGTCAGACGTTATCAACCAGTCACGATTGTTGTGATTTGCACACGTGTTCATGTGTATTGTGTAATTCATGGGGTAGTTGTATTCATGTATCATGTGTATTATGTATTATGTGGACGAAGGCCACATGATATACATATTACAGTAATCAGTAATTCTTTGTAATCTTTGTAGCAAATAAAAAATAACACCAAATCAAACTTTCGGGGGTTACCTATATTTTTCCAATAAAATATTTCTTTTGACTAAAAGTAAAGTTATTCAATGCATCATTTTCGAGTTTAATGCATCATTTTTAAAAAACCTCCAATCAATTTTATAAACATTATTCATAATTACCAAATGACATGCCTCCACTATAAATAAATAAACTGATCATTAACCCTAATTCTTTATCGGTATTTTGATTACCATTGTTGGATTGAAATATTCCTCTAAAATGGAAGTGATTGTACCAATCGGAAAATGATAAATTTTTATAACAAATTTGGAAAGTACTTCATTTAAAATAAAAAAAATATCTTGATATGGTAAGATATGAAAGAATTAATATTATTATTATTATTATTATTATTATTATTTTGATATTCAAATTATTTATTTAACGAGATTCTTTAGAACAAAATGAAGTTCAAGAAAATCTAATGTTTTTCCTTTTGATAAACTAACAATGATGTCATTAGTGAACGGACCATATTGTCATCAAATTTTCCTAAAAAAAAACTAATAAAAAGTTCAAATTTGGTATAATACCTGAAAACTTGACAAAAAAATCAAACCAATAATAATTATTATTACCATATGTATCGAAGTCTTTCTCCTCAATTTAAGTAATTTTCAACATTCAATGGAGTTATAGTTTTTTTTGTTTATCAGATATTCGGATAATCTGACAGGTTTCGGATCATGAATCGAAATTTCCTTGTTTTCTTATTCTCCTCAAATGTTTATAAATTATTAGTATTTATCGGATATTCGGATAATCTGATAGGATTCGGATCATGAATATCCGGATATTTGGTACCCGAATTCGGAATCGGATAATGGGGATGACGTATCATCCGGATGATCACATGGGATTTTAAATATCTTTATTTGGTAAATTATTAAATCATTTTTTTTTTCTTGGCTCGAATTAAAAATTGGTACTTTCGTATGACAAAGAGTTAAACGAATAAGTGAAATAAATATTTATTTTTTTTTAACAAAGACCTTTTGAATTGAGAATAATTGAGGTTTTATATGTTTTTTTTTCCCGAAGCATTCAATTTATGGATGCATAATTTTGGATTGCATAATTTAGCGAATGTTTAAAAATTCTCTCTACCTTCTTTTTTTTTAGTAAATTTAAACAAGGAATAATATAATTTTAAATTTAATTTTATTATTCTTAGAACGTAACACATTTTTATGATAATGATATCATTAATGATCAAAAAAAAAAAAATTTTTTTTTCTTTATTCGATATTTTCAATAAAAAAAATCGAATTGCGTAACAATACATTTATAATATTCAGCTGAAAATCAACTATTTGAGCATATTTTAATCTAAATGGTATTTTATTTTTTGTAAAAAAAGAAAAAAAAAAAAAAAA